ACATTAGGAATGTTAGAGTTTTTTAGTAAAGATTTATAAAGGAACTAGTTTTTAAAGATATAACAATAAATATCTTTTACCAAATATGCTGTCAAAACAAACAACATAAACACTTCCTAAAACAGATATATCAAGCAAACATGTATTTAACCCTCTGGCTGCGACGTCAGTGTACAAAAAATATAACGTCACTGCGAGATTAAAACGACGTCACAATTTCTTTGACATTATTTTGCGGTATTTTTTCTGGTTTACGCTTAGTGCGCTCAAATACAGGAAAGCGTGTATGGAATTTATTGAATTTTTACATCAACAAAACTATGTGGGTTTAGAAATTCTTTATTTTTACATGTATATTTTGTCGCAATTTTAGTCATAAAATTATTATGATATTTTAAAGATATTTTCGATAAATACCGATGATCGATTATGAAGAATGAATTCACAAAAATCAGAAGAGAATTAAAATAAGCTGAATAATCCTAAACATTATCGATAGTTTTTTAAATATTTGCTAAATACTTAAGTAAAAATATAGTATATAGATCAACATAAGTATTTTTTTCATTCTCCATCTTCTTCTTCATTTGCATTCAAATTTCTTATTATACGGTGTGATGCCTTCTAAAACATTTCGCTCAAAGTCCAAATTTACATTTGTACCACGTTCTATTAATTTTGCTTCTTCAGCCGGCGTAGATTTTTCTATTCTTAAATTAATTAAAAAGCAAGCTAAATTCCTCCAAGAATGGTTCTCACTTAGAAAAAAAATCATAACAAAACAACTTTGACCCTTGAATCTGTATTTAGTTTATTGGAATTAATTCTATAGAAGTTGTATATATATTTCACTTTGGCATTCATGTTGACTAAATGATTAAACACATGTAAGGCTAATTGATTTATTTTTTAATTAATAAACCAGCAATTAGGAAAAAGATCTACAATTAAACTGTTCAGTGTAAATTTTCTCTGTTAATTTGGCCAAACGGCCGAGACGGTACCTTCCGATGTGATGTTTTAGATTGACGGAAGTAAAAAATTTTTAGGTTCATTTTGTGCGTAGCCCTCTTCCTTGCCGATAAATGATATAGGCATTGGCTATAAGGTGTTGTTAATCAAAAATAATCCTTGGTTTAGGAAAACTTACAAAATACAGTCTTAAACTGATAGATATATAGACCAGTTGGAAAAATATAATTTGTATTTCAGAGATAATTTTAAGCAACATTAATTCTGTAATTTCATATTTTATGGATGAGATCGATTAAAGGGGAAAAATATTTGCAGTATATCAGAAGTAAAATTTGATAAACGAATTCGACTACGTCAATATCGAATAAAATTCTGAAAAAAAAATAAATTATAGGGTTGTATTCCATATTCTGTGGGATTGATCTGATATCGGGGTCATATAATTCCAACGATTTGTCGGACAATAAAGTCGATACCTGCAATCTTGTTTTATACAAAATAGACATTAGGGTACTTTTGTATTGAAATTATGCTGTAAAGTTAAAATACATACAATGTTTTATTTTATGAGAGAAAGTTAAATGACAATGAGAAGAATTTAAAATTTAATTCAAACCAATGCAATCATGCTATTAGAATGTTAGAAAAGTTTTTGCTTCGTTTCCACATCTTAGTATCCAGCCGTATTGTTCATGTAAGATGAGATTAAGATGTAATGTTCACCATGATATTTGGGATATTCTATAAACTAGTAAGAAGGGTGTTTTGTAAAGGAAGACTTCGGTTGTCAAGGGCATTCTTTTCTCTTTTACTAAAAATGATTGCTTTTGCTTTTAACATTGGGTAATAGATCCTAGTTTAAACCATTTTTGGGGGGGGGGGGTGTTCCATAACGTACTGACAGTTTCGAAGACTTTAAGTAAAGTGAGAAAAAGGTTCAATCTCGTTACTTATAGTTGATTAACTTTTTACTTATCAACAGACAACCGCAAACCTTGTGAACTCGAGTTGTTTTGAAGTGTTACAAAAGAACGATACATGTAACTCCGCATCAACCATATATTGGTTTTCAAGCGACTAGGTACAAGTAATACACCCCCTTCACGTGACAGACTTCAACCAATCAGAAGCAAGGATTTCATCGAAAAATCATCAGAGGTGGGGTAAATGTCCTTCCCGCAGCCAGAGGGTTAATAAATCATGTCTTCTGCATGTTTACTGCGAGGTGAATGTCGAACACTGATGGTGATTGTTCATTATACCAAAAGGAATTTGTGATACAACCATAAAAATGTCATATATATTTTTTCAATCGAAAAAGATATCATGAACATTATTTTTCAAAACTTTATTGCTGTTTTTAATAGAGAAGTCTTCTGTAAAATATTTACCCTGACCCTGTATCAATATAATAGTATACACTGGGATAGCTTTTATCAAACCCTTGACAGGAACTATTCCCTGAGGGCTTGATGAAAGAGCTATCCAACTCACAGGCAGTGGATAAGCGTTTTATTATACTGATGTATATCATAATTTCTGAGGGTTTGCATTACCTCATACTACAGTTTCATGGGCAAAACATGAAAAGAATAACTATTAAAGGTTTGAACAGTATTTGGAATAAGATAACACTGCTAAAATGAGCTGAAATCCTGATGACGTCAAAATGCTACTGAAGTCAGGATGACATCATCAGTCTATAGATTGATTATGGGAAATCAAAATTGGCGGCAAAAATTGCATGAAAATTTTCTGAGGGGTGGGTAGCACAAACTATAACCCGGGGCATAGCTTTGCTATGCGTGGAAATCTTCATACTATAAATGATAGTTATATTACCTTCTTAACTTTATATAGGAAACATTTTAACAGAAGTATAATAAATCCAGTAATCCACTTCCTTGACACCAAGTGAAGTGATGATACATGTATGTCTGGTAGGAAAAACTGCTACAGCAATTGTGTCTAACTAGATATTCATCAACATACCATCAATCTTTAGTGCCAAACTATGTTCGGATTCTTTTGTTGGCCCAACGTTGATCAAACTTAACCAATTTCTAAGGAATTTAGAATTCTTAAGTTGGCAAATTCGTTCGTAATGCACACATAACATTGTTATTTAATATAACAGTATGTTTGCCTAGTGTTAGCAGGCGAGTTCTTTAAATTGTTCCAATGTTGCCCAATGAATATTACTTCGAGCCATACGATGTTGGCCAACTGTAGATCCATTGTCCATCAGAGTAAATGTTGGCATAAACAAGGCCAGTGTGTGTTAAGGAATGTAATGCTGGCCAAGCGTATCTCCAACTGAAAAAGGTTTACATGAATCATGGTCACTGTGTGTTAGGAATGTAATGCTGGCCAGCCGAGGTGCATTGCAGTTTCTTCATAACATCTTATCAACAAGAACTGGTTACTAACATGGTAAAAAAGAAAAGGTATTTTATTTTAATTACTCATTTAATTTTGGTTTTATTTAAAATGAAAAAAAAATTATTTCAGAACCTAAATTATGTAAAATAGCATCTTAGTAATTATTTAATATTAGGTACGTACGAAAATTGCAGTAGAAGTTTTATTTTAGAGAATAAATAAAATAGTGAATAATTAGGTCAGTGGTGATATTCAGTTGCTCAGGAAGTTTCCTAGGAGATGGGCATCTTAATCAGAACTTGCCAACTCTGAGCGGTCACTTTTCATCACGTCCACACTTGAACAAATCAAACGTTTAAACGCAAGAAAGAGAAAATGGCTGAAATGTAAGAATAGATGTAATATGTGTGAATGATATAAATTTATGTTATGTTAAAATTAAACTCAGGCATTATGTAAAAAAAAATATGAAGTTATGCAAAATTAACATTTCTTCGAAAATCTTCATGCACATTAATTAGTTGTCTGTTTAAGCTACTAGTAACAGAAATATACATTTTGAAATTATTTAAGGATATGGTATTCTTAACATTCGTAGCAACTGGTGTACAAAAAATCCTCTATGCCATATGGCCTTTGATGTAACAGTTTGTGTAAGAGGAATGGATTCTAGAATAAGGGAATAACAACCGCATGGACAGGAAAGAGGAGCGATTGATTCAAATGTGATATGGAGTTAGGACAGTAGAAAATACACTTTTAATTAACATTCCTACGTTCTACAAATTTGAACTCGTGGATTCCTATATAGAAGAATTTTGAAATGATAACATTGACGTGGAATAAATTTGAGAAATCATTGAACTGTTTTCTTTTTTCCTCTGTTGATTGCATTTAATAAGTTTTTTTTAATGAAAGTGACCAGAAAAATCTTAAATACTTGTATAAGGAATAAGTTGATCTTCCAAAACTGATAAAATTCATTCTGGTGTTATCATGGAAATAAAAAAATACAGGAATTGATTATGATGAACGACTTTACTTGAAAGCCAGTCAATCACCATGTGTGACGATCCGATGTTGGCATTACGATTACTAGTATACACATACATGTACCTTTACAATGTTGGCCTAATGTTGGCTCTCCAGACACATTCCGACATACATTGTTGACCCAATGTAACCCGTCGATTACATGGGCAAAAAATAATTGTAATAGTACCCGGTTATATTACTTCCAGATTCATCAACTAAATGAGAAGACACAAATTGCAAAAGAGGAATTTTTTTTGAAATATAATATAGCTTATAAAACTTAACACAAAATATGCGACATTATGAAAGTGATCCGAGCTCCTTGACTGTCTCTCCTTAACATAAAAAATATTTTAGCATAACAATTTACATGTATGTGAATGTATATCATAACAATAATACACAAAAGATAAACAAATATAGATTAACGGCTTCAATAAACAAAAAAAAATTCACTTTTTTCGTTTAGATCATAATAACTTGTCAAACAAAATGAGGACGCAGATGATATGTTATTTGAAATAAAATATTTTTTGTCAAGCGTTTGGAAGATAGATAGAAAGACTAAAATTATTTAGATAATAAAACATAGAATTCCTTTCAGATTGAAGATGAGCCTCGCACTAATTCAATTCCTACATTTTGCAATATGTACTCAGGCCATTGGTAAGCGTTTAAAACAATTAATAAGAGAAAAAGCACAATATCTTCCAAAACATGCAAAACAAGCCATTTATGTGTTTAATTCATATATTTAATCATTACACTTGTTAATGAATAACATATTAGTAAAACCTTTATCTGTGTTTATGTGTAAGGAAATAATTGTAAAACTAAATATGCTTGTTAAAGAAAATTTAGCTCTTGGAAGACCCGCCTGGCAGAACCATGACTGGCCAAATAAAGAAACCGACTGGGGAGCAGCGAAGGCGGTGGATGGGAAATATACTGATCGTGGAGTGGTAGGAAACCAGTGTACAATATCAAATGACAAACAACAGACAGCAGAGTGGAGAGTGGATCTAGAAAGAGTGGTCAGCATCAGTCAAATCAACATCTACTACAGGACGGATAATGCACCCAGTATGTGTGTAATAGAGTTGATTCAATTGTTTAGTTTCGATATAGTTTTGTTGATTTAATTTTGACTGTATATGGTGACCGTAGATGGATGTAGAATGCGAGTTATTTTTAGAAGGACTATATAAGTGACCGGCTAGGCCAGAGCGGTCAGATTAGGGAGCGGTAACAACATCTGCCGGATACCACGTTTCTACTTTTCTATACGTTCTTATGTCCTGGCGAATATTGCAGTTAGAAGAACTGTCAAACGGGTAGCCATTAGAACTAGGCTTGTTTGGACTGGCATATTTTTGTGTTTCCTTATCTCACTAGCCGGTAAGCGTATTTGTTTTGTTTGTTCAGTTTGTCAGTATTTTAAGTATGTCGTGTATTTGGAGTTTTCTAGGTGTAAATTTCGTTTAGGTTTAGTTAAACGTATGATATTTTCAGTGCGTGGGCGTGAGGGGAGTTTGGCACATTTTCTCGACGGATACCAATCATGTGTGATGTAAAGCGACATTATTGATGGTCATGCGGGTACTGAGGGGTGGATTGTTGTAAAGGACAGACGTGTTATGTTCGTTCCAAGTAGGAGGGTGAGACCAGAGAGTCCGGGCCTCCAGTAAGAGTTGTGAATTCTTCGAAGTCGGTTTTCCGCATGTGTGGTTATCAGGGGGCGGATCAGCACGTGGTGGCGGGAACCCATCCTGTGTGACTAGTGTCTAGTAGTGAATTTAGTGAATAAATTTTGTATGTGAATAAAATCTAAAAAAGGAATTTCCTAAAAATATTATACAGATTATTCATTGAAGTTGAACTTTTTCTAATTTCAAATAAGAAACAATAATTTTGAGTCATTGTATCTGATACGTTATTTGAGATAAGACTTGTGATTTAAAAGTAATTTGAGTATCAGATATTTCTAAAGTTAATAACTGTTTTCATATTATTTGTACTTTGTGTGTGGTGTGAAAGGAGGAAGAGAGAATATTATTATTTTTTTTGTTTATTTTCATTAATAAAGAGCTAGGTTCACTTTATGCATAAAATGGCCCTGTAGATATACCAATTTATTGACTAACACCTTATGTTCCATTTTAAACATCAAGATAAAGTAGGGACTCAGTGCTTTCATTTCCTACTAATATTTTTTCTCCTTAAAGTCCAAGTCTTGGAAAACAAGCTTTATAGAATTGCAATGTTCTTGAATTTTAAAGAAAACAGGTATATTTAAGTACTTCCAGAGAAGAAAAATAATATAAGCGCACCCTCTGATCTAAAAAATAAAACATGTTTTGTAATCCTCTGAAACGGTTCTATCAGTAAATAGTTGCATATTTTAGATCAGAGATTGCGCTCTATATTAAATATCGAAAAATAGCTTTAAAAATTGGCTGTTTTTGTAGAATTGTTCAGGATATGAGGAAAATGCCGTATTTCATGACGTCATAATGCATTTACTAGCCAAAAAATTACGTCATTTTTGGTAGATTCGCAATCGCCAAAAGTCGTAATCAAAGAATCTGGGGGGATAAGACGAGCCATGTGCCCATGCCCATTTTTCGGCTATGCAAGAACATTTATTGGAAAAAATCTCTCAATTGTTCGAATTTACTTAAGCATTTTAATGTTTACCGTAGTTTTCAAAATGATATTTATATTCTAAACAAGCTAAACAGTTGACTTTCATTTACTGTCACAAATGTCTAACATGGGTAAGGACTTCTATTAATTAATCTGCATATTGAGTGTTTACACTTATTGTGGAGATATTATAAAAATGTTAACATCGTATATAATGATAATGGTGATCTAGAAGCGCTTTTATTTAAAATAAATAAAAACGGGAATAAAAGTATTCAAATATCTATTATAACTTTTATCCGGCATTTTAAATAATTTACTGTAAATAAGTTCATTACTACATGTATATATTTTATTTCCAGTGAAAAATATGTTATTCCTATAGACATTTTTTATAAAGTAAAACAAAATTAAAACCAAAAAAAAAAAAAAATCAGAGCATGACTCGAACACTTTCCTCAATAAACGTCCCTTTAAAGAGCTCATCCCTAACCACTAGACCACGGAGTCACACTAACACTTCCATTTAAATAGCATACAGTTCTCTATATTTAGCAATCGTTTTTGGACTTAGAATTTTTTAAGACCACGGTGAAAATTTAAGTAAGTTAACTTAATTTTTTATGTAGAGTGGGTCTTCATACCAAATTTTTGCAAGTGTAAAAAGCAACATCTTTCCATTGCCTTTCATTAATCGTTCTCAAAAAAATGGTACGATGACCCACTCTATTTAAAAAATGTAGTTATATCATCCAATTTATGTCAGTTTCTGTGAAAATTGAGCGTGATGCCATTTTGTTGTGTTAATCAGAATCATTTTCGCTGTTACAGTATTCAGGTTTTGTCAAATTTATATGCAAATGGTAATAAGCATTACATTAATTCAACAAAAAGTGAAATTTTTGTAAAATGAATTTATTGATTTTTTATCGATCGTTATGTAGGCATATGGCTCGGCTTATCCCCCCAGTTTCTTTAATGCATTGTCAACTAAAACTAAACAGTTTCATTTTTTCAGAAATTCACAGGGCCAAAAAAGGCCCTAAGTGAACCTTGTTCTTTTTTTGTTAATTTTACAATTTGTTCTTTCATCTCAGCCATACAAAAGCCAAAAGAACTCATTACAGTGTGTGTTTTCAGTATTCAATAATTGGATTTACAATTATATAATACGAGATACAAGGGGTTATTTTAAAGCTCTAAAAATGCTTTTTGAATGAAGAAAGTAAAGATCATTAATACTGATCAATCTCGGAAAAAAATAAGCAATACAAATCTGAGAAGTGGAGATAAAATAGAAATTCCAGAGGTGAAATCAGATAGATGGAATACCCCGTAGTCGATTTTATAACAAAACAAAAGCTGTACAATTGATATGAAATGTGTCAGTCAAAATACGACCGGTTATTTTTGCTAACAAGGTCATTGTAACGACCATAGAATTTAGGAAATGCTGACTATGAATGACATTGTTGAAATCCTTGTGACAGCGATTTATCTGTCAATAGTCTGCCTCTGTTTAAAAAATGATCGTATTCAGAGCATGCTCTTGAGCATCTGTATTTGTTTTGAGAACCACCAGCACATTTAGGTAAAACTTAATTGGAGTGTTACTGTTTCTGTTACACATAGTCATAGTCTACGAAAGTACATAAAAGTTTTGTTTGTTTGTTTGTTTTTAACGACTCATTTCAGATACCTATTTTAAACTTTGTGGTTTTCGTTGTACAATTTAAGTCTAAAAACAATTCATATCAGACACATATTTAAAACTATGTGCCTTCCATTACAAATGTACGGTTAGTTGGTTTTTGTTTAATGCCCCTCTCGAGAATGTTTTCATTCATATGGAGATGCCACCATTTGTCGGTGGATGGCTGCAAATTTTGACCTATACTCTGCACCTAGGGCCATTAAGCAGTGAGGGATCTTTTTTATGCCAGCACCTACTACGAGACAGGACCTCGGTTTACACGGTCTCATCCAAAGGACCGGTCTCCAGGTCCCGCAGTGGATTAAAACTTGCGACCTAAGGATTAACTCATTACACCGCGACTCTAGAGCAAACACTCTTACAACTGCAAAGACTCTTACAACTGCGCAACGCGGGCGACTTCATGAAAAGTAAATCATGCTCAAGTCAAGCGTAAATTAATCTCAAACTTTGCTTCTTTGAGACCGCAACTACTTAGTAGTTGAACTATATTTTATAATTTTGAATATATATAAATTAGGGATACAAAGTCTGTAAGCAGCTTTTTCCTTCAGAATATGAAATAATTTTACTATATGTCGACCATCAGCTCTCTTGGTAGAGCACCTGCTTCTTGATCGGAAGGTCATGGACTCGCTGGAACAAATCTTAGTCGATATGAAGAAATACCTAACACTGGCCGTTGCCTTCAGCAATTGAGGTTTAACCTGCGGGTCTTTTGGACAAGATCTTAAGAATCCAGGCCCCGTCAGCGCTGGCACTATAACAACTCCTCATGCTCAGTGGCCCAGAGAGGCGAGTTGATGTCAAAATTTAAGTCAAAATTTGAAACCATTAATCTTCAGATGATGATGTCACATGTAGGAGAGATACTCTAGCAACAAACAATCAATCATTTATGTAGGTTCCTTCCTAAATCTTTCACATCGATTCGTTTTATTTTAGTTCCAAGTTATTACACTACTAGATTTGCTGGGTTTTTCCTCTACGTTTCAAACACAACCTCAAAAGACAATGGTCATCTTTGTTTCCATGAGATACAGACTGTGAGCGGCACACCTGTAGAGGACCAGAGGATAAATTGTTCTCTTTATGGACGATACGTGATATATTACAATGAACGGAGATCGGATGTGACGTATCCTAGTTACTACTCTCCGTATGCTTTCAATGATCTGTGTGAATTGGAAGTTTACGGTAAGCTCAAAGATATTATACTGCATACCTTTTCTTTCTATTCAAATAAACATTCTGATAAAGAAAACAAAATTAACAAATCATCCGATTTCGGCCTGAAACATCATGATGAAGAGATTATTTCAAGAATATGTATTGGGCATTAAGGAATGAACTATCATGGATACTTACTTTCTGGATATATTGCGTCAGTATGCTTTATTTATTTTCGTCTATTTTGAGTAGACATATTAATGTGTTAACGATGGAAACGGCGCATAACGTATAGAAATATTAGTATTCATACAATTCTTATCTGTTTAAGCGCAACTGATTTTCACTGTAAGATAAAATCATTCAAATGATTGTTGTAAAGCAAATATAGCAATGTATTTTAAACTGATTACTTAAAAAAAATCATAAGTCCATAGGATGGGACATTAAGTGATGTCTTCGTGTCAAGGACAACAATCCCATTGGTACATAAAAGATGGTCTTTCTGTTTTTCTTTTAAAATAGAAGGCTCACTGGGGCCGTTAAAAAACTC